CTGGAGAGATGGCTCCAGATGCAGAACTCAGGGACAGCAAGACTATGCAATGTGCCAAGAAGAGTCTCCCAATGTACGCCACACATACCCCTGTCCTCAGTCAGCAATTTAGGACCGTCTGCCTGTCTCCACATCACCCCTGGCAGCGTAAGGGCCATTGGGATTAGCCAGTTTATACTTTGGTCCAGATATGTGCAGTCTACAATCCATGGCAACACCCACATTTCACTGGCACCAGTTTCTGCAGCCTAGCTCTCCTTCCCACTAGGAGCTATAGCGTGGCCTGTCATAACCCAGATGGATTCTTTGCTCTCCTGTCCTTTTCAATTGAGTTTAGATATATTTGACTGGGCTAGGACCCATAATCCTTGGCCTCTTTGGGGACAAGAAATGTGTTCACTTAGGGTAGAGGACAAAGAAATGGAGTCAATGGTTGTGCGCTATGATTTCGATGTAGGCCGTTTCCCAAAGGCTCATACCCTGCAAGCTTGACTCCCAGGATGGTGATTTTGAAGTGGTGGAACCTTCCGGTTGTAGTACAAGGGAGATAATTAGGTTTTAAGGGCACCAATTTTTATATACAGGAGGGAGCCTAACCTCTCTCTGGTCTTGTTTCCTTGTTTATACATGTTGTGGTGGTTGAATATTCTTGGCCCATGGTAAATGGTACTATTAGAAGATGTGGCCTTGTTGGAATGGGTGTGGCCCTGTTGGAGGAAGTGTATCACCGTGTAGGTGGGCTTTGAGGTCTCCTAGTGCTCAAGTAAGGACACTACATCAGCTACAACAGCTGCAATTAGGGCTACTACTTGATTTAATTTTCAGTGGTTGACTGTCATTCCTCACGATCCGTCTGTCTTCACCACGGGCCAGAAAGAACACTTAAAGGGAGATGTGGTGGGAACCACACCCCTGCATCTTTCAGGTCCTTAATGGTGGCACTAATTTCTGCAATCCCTCCAGGGAAATGACACTGTTTTTGATTCACTATTTTCTTTGGCAGAAGTAACTCTAAAGACTTCCGTTTAGCTTTTCCGATGATAATAACCCCTAATTCTGGCACCAACTTCTGTCTTAGTTAAGGTTTGATTGCTTGATTGAGTGACCAAGGCAACTCTTACAAAAGCAGACATTCAATTGGGGCTGGCTTAAAGTCTCAGAGGTTCAGTCCCCTATCATTATGGTGGGAAGCATGGCATCGTGCAGGTAGACTTGGTGCTAGAGAAGCTCAGAGTTCCATGTTTTTACAATCCACAGGCAGACAGGAGACTGTCTTCCACAACCAGGAGGGGACTCTCTTCTGCAAAGGGAGGAGCCTGAGCACTAAGAAACCTCAAAGCCCACCTACATGGTGGCACACTTTCTCCAACAAGGCCACATCTCCTAATAGTGCCACTTCCCATGGGCCAAGGGTATGCAAACCACCACACACGTGTTCTCTCTGCAGACAGCACTTTGCCTTTCTGCTGCTCCCCTGTGTATAATGCAGCCAAGAGAGGTGCTATGAGAGGCTGGAGCCATGCTGCTTGGACTTTCTAGTCACTAGAATTGTGAGCCTGATAAAACTATTTTCTTTACACACTGCCCAGCGTCAGATAAATTTTTATAGCAAAACAAAACGGCCACGGTTAGGGACATTTGTGTACGTGCATCACATGTGTGCCCGTTGCCCTTAGGGGACAGAGAGAGAATCAAATTGTCTGGAACTGGAGTTATAGGTTATGAGCTGCCACCTGGGTGCTGAAAACTGAACCGGGTCCTCTGCAAGAGCAGTTAGTGCTGGGAGTGGTAGCATTTACCCTTAATCCCAGCATTTGGGAGGCAGATCTCTGTGAGTTCGAGGCCAACCTGATCTATAGTGCTATGGGCTATGTAGAGAGACCCTGTCTAAAATAAAGAGCAGCAAGTGGCCTAAGTCACTAAGCAATCTCTCTGGTCCCATCACCAAGTGGCTGGACAATTGGAGTCTGGAGGGCATCAGAGCCATGGGTAAGCTTATTTAGTTAGAAAGCACGGAGGTGAGGGTCCTGCTTCGAATCCTGTTACATCTCTTGTTATCTAATTTAAGGGGTAACTCACGGTGTAGTCCAGGCTGGCGTTAGACTCTTGATATCCCAATTATTGAGAGGACAGGTATATGCCACCAAGCCCAACTTGAGTTAGGACTTTCAAACTCTAGACCCAAGTTTCTTTGTTAGCAATCCTTGATAAGAATAGATTGGACTTAAGGTCACTGAAAAGATGAATAAGAGATGAATAATATATCTTACTGTTCTCTATAAAGAACATTCATAATTGCAAGAGAGTTATAAAAATTCCATTCATGTGTGATGTCAGTTTTCATGTTAGTTGTTGGTACTGGTCGAAGGAATGTCTATTATACATCATTAATAGGAGTAAGTACATGTTCTTGAAGGTTTTGTGTGATTTTGATGTTGAATTTTGACCATGCCTTTTCAACCTGACTGCACAGGAGTTCACTAACCTGAGGACGTTGTTCCCACTTTGGAAGAGTCCAGCCCTGCCATGAAGAGTGATTCCCTCACTAACGTTTATCGTAATGAATGTCCTTGTAAAGAAATGCATTTCAAAATGAAGCTTATTCAGGTCTCCTGCTTCCCAAAGAGAACGTAAACACCTGGAGTTTTCTATAAGTGAACAGTCTCCTAAAACACCACAGCACAAGGAATAAAGCTGAGAAGAACCTTAAGGCTTCCCTGCCTGTTCTGGTTTGGCCAGCTAGTCCCCCTACTTCTCTGTTAACTCAGACATCACTGATAAAGAAGGGCCCTGTCAGCTAAAACTTGGGAGAAGTATTTCATGAAAGAGTCATCTAAGTTGGATTTCAGGATACACTCGAGGCACCAGCACTCAGAAGGTGGAGTTAAAATGAGGAGTTTTAAGCTCAGCCTTGTCTCTGTAGAGATGCTGAGGCCAGTCTGGGTTTCATGCCACCCCCCCTTCTCTTCCCACCACAAAAAAGAGCTATCAAACTCATCATGCTTGGGGAATGGTTCAAGAGTCCGTTGTGGTCTGGGGGATGTCGGCCCCGGGTACATATGGCTTCTGGTAGAGGTCAGTCTATTAGTATGAGCTCTGAGTTGTCATGAAAAACAAATGTTCAGTAGCTGCAAAGGACTTGAAAGTCACTCTACACAGTCTGCTCTTACCCACGACTGCGCTTCTCCACTCACTCACGGTCAAGTAAGGACTAAGAGTATCGAGTGGAAAATTATACACATAGGCAGCTCATACATTTGAAGTTCTGAGTAGTGTGATGAGATGCTGAGCGGCGGCTCTGTCCCCTCCAGGTTATGAATCACTGTGGTCAATGTATCCACTTGTTGACCCCATCAGTCCATGAGCAGCCACTTCCAGACCGACTGCAACAGTATAGCAGTATGTGAAATCTAGTAACCTTTGTTTTATTTAATCATGGCCCCAAAGTGCAAGATAAGTAACGCCGCCGATGATTTTGTTACAATATATATTTTACAACGGTTCTATTTTGTTTCATTATTAGTTACCGTGCCCAACTTATAAATTAAATTTTATCACAGGAAAACATGTACAGGAGAAAACATAGTATATGCAAGGGTTGGTTTCATCTGAGGTTTCAAGCATCTACAAAGGGTCTTGGAGAATGGGAAGCTACTGCTTATTTATACAGCTGAAGTCTAGAAGTTTGGAATGGAATTGTCTCCTAGACTCTAAAAGAAGGGTAACACCTTTGGCCGATACCTGGCATTACATTGAGAAGTAATTATAAATGACCTCGCAAAGAAGGGGGTTGCAACAGCACACATGTCTACAGCGATGGAATGTGTGATGGCGGCCATTAACTGAGAAGCTTACACCAACAGGTAAGACTCTCTGTTTCTGAGTGCCCGAGGCTGAACCTGACTCTAACTACAACTGGACTCTGCTGCGGGACTGGGACCACTTTGCCTCAAACTGCAACAGGTAGAGGATCACGGGCAACTGATACCAAAAAAGACCTTTGCTTTAAGAGCCAACAATTCCCTGCTCTTTTTTATGGATGGTCTCTGAAAGCTGGTTTGCTGGTTGAACAATGACCCTTTGGGGCACGTCCATGCATTAAAAAAAACAAAAAACAAAATCAGATAACACCACTATTTATACTTCTTGCTGAATATTATTATTTCCTCTTTATGCCGAGTATGGACATTTGAGTCTTCTCTTGTTTCTGAACTCTAGATTTTTGGAACGCAGAATCCGGTTGCATGTTTCCCTCTGCCCTTGCCTGACAGCACCTTGCATCTGGAGCAAGTCCTCCATAACACTTTCGAATGCGTACAATGAGTTCCTGTTACCTGGAAACCGGTCTCCTGCCCATCAAAGCAAACATTCACAGATCTTAAAGTGTGTGTTTTTTTTAAATCCAAATAGACTGTAATTCTGTTTCCTGTCTTTTTTTTTTTTCCTTTCCATTCAGTGCAACCAAGTAAAACCCCAAACAGGTGGCTCAGGGTCAATAGCACCAGCGAGCCCTTTATCCTGACCATAGGTAAGTGGCGAAAATAAGTCGTAAGAAGGTGTGACAAGTGGGCAAGCGGTCCCCGGGAGCTTATAAGTTATTCTAACTACTTGTCTATCCAGGCTTCCCCTTTCTGCCCCAGAAGTCTTCAAAATAACATAAAAACCCAGGCAGCCTGGAAGTTTCCTGGTGCTTGAAGTGCCAATCTTCCAGCGTTTATTTCCAGCTCACTGTGGCTCTGTAAAAACACACGGTCTGATAAAAAAAAGTCTGCTAGGAAAGCTGACGACTACAGCAGGAAAATCTGTTGAGTGCCCCTTGGCAGTAGCAGTCATGGGCTGAGCCCCTTAGGCGCAGAATCGTATCTAAACTTCACAGAGCCTTAGGAGGTTGGAGTAAAAGATCTGATCAAAGAACAGGCAGGCCACACACAAAACAGCTGGCAAGGAGGAGAGGGCCCGGACTAAAGGTTGGGGCTGCTTCGACGCCCATGCCGACTTACCTGGGAAGTACAGAGTTGAGTGGCCTGGATTTTGGTGGGGATGCTACTTTTGGCTCTGCCACCGTGCTCCCGGAAGATCCTTGCAGAGCGTCAGGAGTGGGTCCAGGCGGGTTCGGAAGTATCTCCTTAGCGGAAGTCAGAAGGTGCTCTTTCGCTTCTTTCTCCCGCGACTTGGCTTTGTGCTCCGCCAGGAGGAGGTCAAATTGCTTTTTCCGGCCTGGGACAGCTCTCCGATGGCTCAGCGAGTGTGTCTAAGGAGAAGAGACATGAGAAGCACAGCCTCTTTGATCAGCACATACACCTGCTTCCCCAAGGCCTGCATTTCCGAAATTGCAACCATAGGCATTTAAAGGTGCTTGAAAAAGTCAACTTCAAGGCAACAGCTCCCGTTCTGAGGCTGGAAAGAGGCAGAGACCGCTCGAACGCAACCATGCCCTACACTCCAGGTGTTAAGAAGCCAAGGCTTCCTCCAGACAAATGGCATGAGACAGCTTCTGCGCAGAACCCAGGACAGCCTCGGATGAAAGTCACCCGCGAGGGAAAGCTAAAGTCAATCCAGGTGTGGGTAGAAGGCTCCAGTTGGCCCATGCATTCAGGGCCACCAGGCAGACAGGGACATAGCCTGGATCCCAAGAGGCGCTAGAAGGACAGGAGGAAACCTGGGGCTTGAGGCTACCCAGTAGCGGAGGCCTGGGGTCCGCCTGTCCCCTGGTCACCCCGAGTGGCTAGATCAGAGCGCAGTATCGCATCCTCCCCTCCGGGCTGCCTTTCTGGGCGCTGCCGCCGCCGCCGCCGTTCCTGCATACATTAAAACGTAGCAGGCTTTAGAACCGCCTGTGAGTGCCTATAAATACAATTTACTGTCTGGCCTCCCAAGTAACACGGGAAGCCTAGGGTGGTTTTTTTTTCTTTCTTTTTTTTTTTTCCTCTCTCTCTCTCTCTCACTCTCTCTCCCCCTTAAAAAGCCAGTCAGATTGAGGCAAGCTCTGTGCTACCATGGACAGAGAAGAAAGCCATTTCCCTTACAAAGAACAGCTGGAGGTCATGTCGAGGTTCCACACCCTGCCGTGTGCAGAGAGTGGCATGCAAACATTTCGACAAAGGCCCCAGCAAGAGCAGGAAGTATTTTTTATGGAAAGAGAAATACCTTGCAGGTGAGGGATCTTGTGCAAGGTTTCTTTGTCTCGGGATCCAATACTCCACAGTGTTTATTTGGGTCAAATTCTCTCTCTGGTTTAAGAAACAAACAAAAAATGTAAGAAAAAAAAGGAGACTAAATAGGATTTGGCATTAAGACTACATTTTTTTAAAAAAATGCACATATGCACCAACAAGTGTGACGTTGTCAGGCGATTTTTTTTCCTTTTTTTTTTCTTCTCCCAACCAGCTGCTAAAATGTTTCAAGAACCACTTTGGGGGAAAATAGTGCTCCCCTCTGAACCCAGACTTTCTGAGTCTGGTACAGGGCAGCATAGAGAAAAGGGTGAGAGCAGGGGGCAAGAGGGTTAAGACCATGGTGTTTACAAATGCTTTATTTTACATAAAATAGTCCCACAGGTCCCTGGTGCTTTGTACATAGTGGCTGCAGAGCAGATAGTGTCACCTGAGACCTAAAGATGCTGCCTTCCTTCCTTCGAAGGGTGCCTGGAGAATCCATGTATGTCCCCAGCCCCACCTCTGCCTTCCTGGTTTATCCATTTAAGTGGGAACGTGTTCACTGACTTGTCAGGGTGGCCTTTCCTATGCTTTACAAAGCCCTTGGTGACGGTTTTCCATGCAGCCTCATAGGTCCTTTCCCTGAACTGGAATTGGCAGTGCTGCAGGCAGGGTCAGGAGAAAGTGTGGCTACTGCTCCTCTGTGGGACTGAACTTGAAGGCACAAGGAACACAGGCTGCTAACCTTACACTCGCTTTGCCTGTATCCCCGGTCCAGACACTGCACAGGAAGATAAGACAGGACATGCTGGCCTAAGAGATGAAGAATGACTGGGAGAGGGAGGGCTTTCCCCGTGTCCTTCTTACTGCCTGGAGTGTTGGTTGCTTCCATGGAAATGACTGCTAACTGTTCTTCTGATGCCTCCTGCCTCTTCATCCCTTTGGGGATTACTAAAAATGCTTACCACACCTGCAAAATGTGGGAGTGTGCATCAACCTTCCAAGGACCCTCAGGCTTTCGGAAAGTCTGTGCCGTCTCTGGTAGGCACCAGCAAACACCTGAGTCCTGTAGAGCAGGAATCCCACACCTCTCTGGGTACAAAGGGTGGCAACATTTAATGGTAGAGAGGGGGTGATTAGGAAGGGTGCCAGGTCTCAAGAAATGTGAGGTGTCTGTAAGGGCCTTCATGGCAGCGAACTGAGAGAGTTCCTTGGCCAGAAACTATCAGCATTTGCTGGTGTAAACTTGAAGCATAAAAAATAAGACTGGGGGGTCAGGCTGCAAGGGAAGCTGTGTACAAACTGTCACCCAGCCCAGGGCCATCAAAATGCCTCTCTTCCTTCCTCTACAGAGAGCTCTGTCCAGCAGGCAGTGAGTGAGTGGATGCCAGGCGCCTGGATACCTGCTGTGGAGGTCTCTTTCACTTTGGTCTACCAGACTCAGGTCTGTGCCCAGATACACACCAGCACCTCACGATGGAACTGAATGGGGTTTTGACTAGGGACGGGAGTTGGCTGTTGAATGTGTGGGAGAGGTAGAAACTAGCAAAGGACCCATTGAGACAAGATAACCCACAAAACACAAAGTACCCCTGCCCCGCTTCAGATAAAGGTACAGGCTGGAAGAAGCCAAGGTAGTATTATTGCATCAATAAGAGACCCATAGCCTCTGGACACTGCATAGGCAGACCCCCCCCACCCCCACCCCACCCTATCCACTGGGATGAACACTCCATTTGGGAAGACAGCTAGCAATGAAGGACTTGGTCCATAAAGTGATGCCTCACCAGGTTCTCCATCCATTACTTTGGATGAACAGGACTTGGAGAGAGGTACACAGCTGTTTCATTTGAATGCTTTTGGGTAGGGCCCAAGTACTTTTAATACATAACTTTAAAATGCAAATATAAGACAGAAAATCCAATTAAATATGAAGTAGAATATAAAAATTACTCACACCTTGGGTGCTTAAAAACCATGCCTGATGCAGAAGATCAATTCTCTCTCTCAAGGATGGCTTTCTCTGTACTTTGTTTTTCCTAGTTACCATTACAGAGAGCCCATGGTGTGTGCAGGAGCTATGAAACCCATAGCTTCCGGTCATTTGGAGAAAGCAGAACAAGCCAGATCTAGTTCTACAACAGACCCAAAGCAAACATCCTCCTTTAAGACAGCAACTGTCACCTCTGAGTGGCAATATGTCTTGTTCAGGGGGCTGAGCAGGGACCCGAGAGACCTCCCCATACCCCAATATGCTATGCTGGTCCGTAAGCTCCCAATGGGAACTCCAGCCTGGCTATAAGGGAGAAGCCAACCACAGTTCCAACTGAAGAATCAACCCAGACAGCCAGGAGGCCAAAGGGCAGAGGTTACAGTTCCCCATGCAGCACAGTCGCTGATTGGGTTGTTCTACCCAGCATGCCATGAGCTATCAGCTGTCCCATGGATAGTCCTCCTTCTCAGCAGCTGTGTCAGTATGGCCACTAGGCCCACAAGACCCTTGGAGTCTACAACTGTTGGTTGGTACAGAAAGCCCCGTTTCCTGGACTTCTAGGATAGCTTCAGCCAAATTCAAAACTTGGCTGGGGGACCTTATCTGCGTTGGGGGAATGAGAGCACCATCTCCCTGGTACTTTCAGGTGCTGGTCCTGCTTTCACCACTGTTTAAACCAAACAGCTGTTCCGCTCTACGAACACATCACTGGTTACAGATGGACTCAGTTTGTAGTCTTACCATGAGCCAGACTCTAACCACAGTGATACATACCTGAAAGTCTCCGGTAAGGCTTGTTGCTGTTTTTGGTGCCATTTGGGTGCTTCTTGTCTATGGTGGCTGACAGAATCCCCTTGCCATTTAAGATCTTCTCTGGTGAAGGTGGCACTGACTTGGACATCAAGGTGGGCTTAATTAAAGGTGGGGTGGAGACGGCAGAGGAGGAGGAAGTGGCTGCAGTAGTGGTTGTAGAGTTCATTTTGACATTGGCACCATCTGCCTTCACTAGGTTAGGAATTTTCTCTAAACTGACTACGGGAACTGGAACGCTGAAAAATAAAGGAACACACATGCACGGCTGCCTTCTTTGATAGATCCGGTCCACCGAGGAGCTACACCCGCTTATCGTTACCACAACACTTCCTTATCACTTATTTATGCTCCTCCTGCAAGCGAGCAGCGTGATTCCCCGTTTTGATGGGAGGGAGATCTGTACCGAGTAAAGGACCAACAGGGGGTGAGAGGCTGGCATGGTGCCCGGGGTGGATAAGAGCAGACTGATTACCTCCCAGGCTGGCTGTCCCCATGGATCCTCTGATTCTGCCCCCCTCTCAGGCCCTCTATGTGTTTCTCTCTGACACAGCACCTTGGGCAAAACAAGGCCACCACTGTGAAGCCCAGGAAGACAGGTTGTCTGTGCCCTGCAGACAGCCTGCCACTGTGGAAGCGGGTCCCCCTCCCCATTCTCCTGCTTGTGAGAGTCTCCCCACCCCAGCCCCATCCGGGCCTGACATCTGCTTAGCTCTCGAGCACTGACAGGCTCACACCACACGGAGCATGGCTGCAGTCCAGCGAGGGGCACGTCATGCTGTGGGAGGGCTTCTGGATCGTGCTCACATCCCAAGGATGGGCTCAAATTGAGTGAGCCGCCGTGTACCATTATCCAATATTCCATTTTAGGCAGCTAGTTATGTAAATAGGCAATTCTCCAGACTGGCAGGTGAGAGGATGAATTTTAAGAAGGTGAGAGCACAAAGGTGTGCATTCACTCTTCAGAATCTGTCACCTTCGCCCCACTCCCCTGCTAGTTCCCAGTAACGGATGTGCATTTGATTTCGGCTGCTCTTTAATGCAGGGAGGACCCTGTGTCTGGGGGTGGGGGTGGGGGAATGTGTCTCGGCATCTTGAAAGATGAGATGAATAAGTTTTGCTTTGGTCTCTGAACCAGGTTCCCTTTTCTCCTGGCAGGAGGGTAGGCTGCTAACACTTCGGTTCCCCAATCATCTTTGAGCTGAGAGTGGAGATGGCTTAGCTGTTTGAATGCCAAATGATAGCGAATATGGCTCTCGCATGCCTGCAGACAATGTAGGGCATGAAAGAGAGGCTGTTTTTTTGGCAGGGAAGAATCCTATCTGTCCACACGGCTGGCTCTCGCTTCTCTAAGGCATGTTCACAGATCATTTCTTTGATCAAGTTGTTCACGAAATTATTTCAGCAACTCGTCATTCCCTGCCACCCTTCTGATTTTGAAACAGGACCACAGACATTAGTCATAGGTCTTTGCCAGTGGGCACACAGTGGTAGAACCAGCTGGGGCTGAACATTTTAGACTTTCCCCTTGGGCCATGTGTTTTCTTGGCCTGCAGAAAGTTGCCTTGGGATTTCAAGTTGGTGCAAAGGGAAATGGGAATAGTGGCAAGCAAGGGCTCTGGCTGATTCTACCCCTGATCAGAATGTTGGAGTCACAGGGATGGGGCTAAACTGTTGTTCTTGTCTGTTCAGTGGCGACTCTCTAAGTGCTCACTTGTTAATTGCTGAAGAGCAGCCCCAGAAACTCTCTTAGGTGGGAGTGTGCTAAGAAACCATATAGACACCCAATGGTGAAATCAACACACAGGTCTGCCATGGTTTGAACGCATCCCTCAACGTCTGTTTAGAAACTTAAAACTCCAGATTCATATGCTGATAGTATTTAGAGGGGGGTGGTGTCTTCAAAAAATAATTAGAATTAGATGAAGTCCTGTGTGTGTGTGTGTGTGTGTGTGTGTCTGTCTGTCTGTCTGTCTGTCTACAATGGGACTGGTAGTTTTGTAGTAAGAGGAATTGAGAGCTGAGCTCTCTGTCTTCCTGGTCCTCATCTGCCACCATGCTTGCTGCGCCTCAGGAAGAAGGTCCTCACCAGACGACAGCACTTTGTTATCGGATCCCTGAGCATTCTCACTGTGTGATGTCCTTTCTGCTCTTTATAAAATCACCCAGTTTGTGGTATTTTGTCATAGAAGCAGAAAACATACTGAGAATATAAATAGACACCACGGTGGCAGAATGCAACGCTATGGGAAAATTATGAAATATAATCCTTCTCAACTCATTTCTTCAACTCAAAAAAAAAAAAAAAAGCACAGATTACAGAAATCAGGGCCTTTCTTTTCCCCCTTTGAGAAATCGTCTCAAGTAGTCCAGGCTGGCCTTGAACTTTCGAAGCAGCCAAAGCTGGCCTTGAACTCCTAATCATCCTGCCTCCACTTCTCAAGGGCTGGAATTACAGGCTTTTCACAAGCCTCCTGGTTTAGAAGTGAGGTCTTGAGGAGGTGTCTGTACACTCTCTTGTTCATGGCAGTATTATTTGTGACAGCCAGAAGGCGGAAGCAAATGAAATGGCTATTAATACAACATATGGATGTCTAATCTATAGCTTTCTGAAGGAAGGAAATTCTGACACATGACTGGACCTTGAGAACAGTATGCTGAGTAAAACAAACCACTTGTAAAAGGACAAGCAAAGGTTCCCACTTACACAAGGCACCCACAGTAGCTATAGTCACACAGACAGAAAGCAGAACAGTGAGTGTGGGGGGAGGGATGGGGAAGGGGAGGGGGCACGACCTATGCCTGAAATCTCAGTTTTGCAAGATGAAAAGATGCTATACATTGGGTGTGAAACAGTGTGATTATACTCAACACTACTGTACATTTAAAAATGGTTAAGATGGTAACTTTTATTTTATACGTTTTACCACTCTTTTTAAAAAATACCAAGTAACAACTTCACAAGTTGCAAAACTAAATTGTACTTCAGTAACCCCTTGAGTATGCATATGTGTATATATACATATATCTTGTATATGCACATCTATTACATGCATACATATTATATATACATTGTGTATATGTAGAGAGATAGATTACACACACACTCATGCCATATTACTTCACAAAAGGAAATGAGGACTTTCAAGTTGCAGACCTGGTTCTTACTGCAGAAGCATGGCAGAGTACACAGAAGGCCTCCAGTTTCTGCTAGAAGTGCTCCTGACTTCAACAGAGCGATGTCTGGAATGGGACAGTCAGGAACGATTGGCCCGTGTCCCCCAGGCTCACAGTGCACTCTGCATGGCTCCTCTAGAGTCAAAGGTTGTTGTTAAATGTGTTCTGCGAGGCAGCCATGTGCACACAGGTGCACCGAGCTGACATTACAGCCAACACAGCAGCTAACTCATGGTGTATGCTTCCTAACTTCCTAACTGCACCCCAGCCGGCCTACTTCCTACTCTCTTATTTGATCCCCTAGTGTGGACTTTCTTCTACTGCCCATTATTTTCTGTATCATTGATCCTTCTAGAACATCAGTTGGACTCTGATACCAATACCCACAGGCAGGATCTAGAGATGGAATCCACCGGCAACATGAAGAATGGAAAATGCTGGGCAAAAGAACCCCATAGAGAATTCTAGAGGCCTCATGAGTCATAAGGGAGCTAGCCACCAAACAAATATCCTGGCTGTTAGGTGACCAGGCCCCCATTGTCAGCAGAAGAAAGAGAAGGGGATAAAATCTTTGCAACAGGAATTCTGAGAACTCACCAGCTAGAGCAAAGAATTACTTTGCACATGGGAGCTGTCCCTGGTACTTTTCCTGGGTTGCTGTTCTCTCCAGTAAAAGCTGTGGGCTTCTCTCAAGTGACCAAGCCTGAGAAGGGGAGGTGGGGGAAAGTCTATGACAGTGGGATAGTGAGAAGGATCAGAAATACCTTGAGGGGTGAGGGTGGGGGGCTCACATGCTTGACATCCCTACACTCACCACAGTAGTAATTCTAGCCAGACTCCTTTCTCTGCTATTACTGGCCCAAGACCCTAAAGTGCTGGACAAAGGACATAAGTGAGGATGGTGCCACACAGTGACAGACAACTGACCCCAAGCACTCCGTCTTCTTTAGAGAAGAGAGAGAGTTGGCAAATGCTTAACGCTCCTCCTCCTCCCACCCTTACATGCTGCCACCAGTGCAGGAGTGTGCTGTCACAGCAAGCCACCAGCTCAGAACTGCCTTCTGCGGCTCTCCTCCACAGTGTCCACACTTCCCTACCACCACCTTCCTGGGTAGTAATGTGTCAGCCTCGGGGAGACAATGTAGTGTGGCTCCTTTGGGTGGTGGTAAGCCCTGGAGTACATACAGGTTTAAATTTTTTTTTCCCTCTGTTTGCAAAGAAGCCAAATCTTCCCACCCTGATTTCACAGAGTGGTCAACTCCCGTCGTCTCTGTGTGCCACTGCAGCAAGGGAAACTCTTACGTGTGGTGAGGAGTTGGGAGGAGCTGGTTAGGTGGCAACACCCAGAACACAGACTGGCAAGGAACTTGTGTGTGTGTGTGTGTGTGTGTGTGTGTGTGTGTGTGTAGGAGATACACAAGCCTGGCTGGGAAGGGAGCCAAAAGTCCCCCCCCCCAAGTCCTTTCCCTTCCATCTCGAGGGATGGGTACTTCCTCTGTTCTCATCCTTCATTGCATTTACAAGCTCACTACTATCCTCCTTTTGAGGTGCTATCTTTAAAAAGGAGAGAGGAGCCCCTGTGAAGCCCCTGCTGCTTTCAAAATGGCTGTTTTGTGGGCTTGGCAAGAACTCTTTCAGGGAGACCAGGGCTGCAGCTCCTTCCGGCTGTGTCAAAGATGTTGGGAGCGCCATTATCGTCTTGCTATGTCTGTGCCTCCTCTCAGGCCTGGGAAGGCATTGCAGTGTGGAGATGGGCCCTCCCTCAACCCCTGGTACCACAGGGAAGTGTCTACCTTCTGTTTCTCTTGTGCTGCTTTGGTTCCCCATGTCTTCTTCCTGTGTGCTTGGCCTGTCTGAATTGATCTTTCTAGACCAAGGCAGGTCTTCTGGCTTTAAGAAAAATGGTTCTCTTGGCATCAAGCAGATTCCCCTCCCTGCCCAGTGATGTCTGCAAAAAGAGCAGAGGTGGAGAATCATGATGGTGTCATTGTGAGAGTCACTACCGGGCTGCAGGGCCAGCTGCCCCCTGCCGGCCACGTTTTCATGCTGGTCAAGACTTACT